ACACCAATTCATGACAGTCTTCATTCATACCTAGTTCCAACATATGAACAAATGTGGACCGTTCGAATAACCTTATTATTCAGGAAGTCAAAACATGCAAAACAAAACAATAAGTAAACAATTAACACAAGACAATAACTTTACTTATAAATACTACCATTTATTTAACCATCAAATGTCAATTACATTTATTATTACATGTTTCCAAACTATCTAATCTAAGCTAATATCTTCCCTCATCGTAATGCTCCTAGCGTGCTGCAGGTGCTTAACCCTACTCAGTCCCTTCATAAGCAGATCTGTTAGGTTATCCTCCAACGATACCCTCTTTACTATGAGGAGTCCTTCTTCCACCTGATGTCGAATAAAGTGATATTTTATGTCGATATGTCGAGATCTACCGTGATCCCTTAGTTCCTTGGTCAAGGTAATCGCTCCTTCATTATCATAGAAAATTTCCATGGGCTCTTGTATGGCTGGTACAACTCCAAGGTCTCCAATGAAATTCTTCAGCCATATTGCCTCCTTAGATGCTTCGCTCGCTGCAATATACTATGATTCGCACGTTGAATCAGCTACGGTCTCTTGATTGGAACTTTTCCAAGTTACTGCTCCTCCATTAAGGGTAAAGACCCAACCCGACTGCGAGCGGTAGTTGTCTTTGTTGGTTTGAAAACCGGCATCACTGTACCCTCACACCTTAAAGTCATCACTCCATCTGAGGACTAGAAACTATTCTTTGGTCCTCCGAAAGTACTTAAGGATATTCTTGACTGCGGTCCAATGCACTTTCTGTTGGATATAGTGTCTAAGTCCATAATTTTATTTGGTATGAACTTGACCCGACCCGACATGGTCCATTTGGGTTGCATGGCATTGCAATACTTGGATAGACTAAATGAGAGAATAAGGCACTTATGATTATTAATATATTATAAGTTCTAATATATTAATAATAGTATTATTTAATTAGTATTTGATCAAGTATTAATCTAGAATTAATTTGGTGATCAAAGTGAGACTAATTAAATATATAGGGTTGATTATAACAATCATCAATTCTTTTATGGTGGATTAATGATCCATGGTTTATGGATTTGGTTATAACCATATGGAGCTCCATGGATAGTCCATGGGAGTTACAAACCCATGGGTCATGAGAAATGAAGAGTCATGACAATTAGGGTTTACATTTGTAACTCCTAATTATGACACACTATAAAAGAAACCCTATAGCATGCAAAATTTGCACTAGAGTATTCTTGTGAGGGCATACCCGATTTTGAAGTGTAGAAGTATTCTCTCTAGTTATTCCAAGGTTGTAGTGTTGTGTGAAGCATTTGAGGCACAACATTTGGGGTGCTAGGCTCACAAAGTCTTGAAGGAATCCAAGCAACAACAAGGTATGTGTTTCTACTGGTTTTTATGTTTTATGTAATCCCCATGCCATGCTAGTTAGGAAATAACCTTGAAAAAGAAATTTGCATGTATATAGAGAAAACATAGATTCAAGGTTATTAGGGTTGCATGTACACTTAGGAAGTGTTAGAATGCTCAAAACCCAACAGTGGTATCAGAGCCTAGGATTGTTTTCTGTATACTTGATGCAAAACTGCTTGAAAAAAAAAAATTCTGCATTCTGATGATTGTACTCGCCGAGTCCATGTGGAGGACTCGCCGAGTCCATGAACAATTTCATCCTACTCGCCGAGTACGAGAATGCACTCGCCGAGTAGGATCGAGCTGGGCAGATGTTTCGAGTTTTTGTTGCTGGAAATGGATTAGAATCATTATCCCAATCTATTTTGGACTTGTAAAATCTGTTTTTCAAAATGATAATGATTATGTTAATCCATTTTACATGACTTTTAACAATTTCAAAGTATTATATATGTTTATATGATTTCTTGAAATTACTTGACATGAATTTGTGTTCTTATGAGTTTTTAGAAGATCATAGGAATTATGTGTAACCACCATGTGTGTTTAATTCTTGATCTTAATTGTATTAATGGTGTCCATACTTGTTCTCAAGTTATGGATAACCAAAGGTCACTTCTTTAATTTGTGTT